CTTCAGATGATGGGGATGCTCTATGCTGTGAAGCGTCAACCACCGTGGAAGGAAGAAAACGATTTGCAGATATATGGCTCATTGATTCGGGAGCAACATATCACATGACCTCAAGAAGAGAATGGTTCCATCATTATGAACCTATCTCAGGAGGATCTGTTTATAGTTGCAATGATCATGCCTTAGAGATCATTAGCGTGGGAACCATCAAATTGAAGATGTATGACGGAACAATTAAAGTTGTTCGAGAAGTGCGGCACTTGAAAGGCCTGAAGAAAAATTTATTATCTTACGGATTGTTGGATAATAATGCAAGCAAGATTGAAACACGGAAAGGAATCATGAAAGTGTTCCGTGGAGCGCTTGTGGTACTGAAAGGCGAAAAAATAGCTGCAAACTTGTACATGCTGAAGGGAGAGACTTTGGTAGAAGAAGAAGCATCTGTTGCCTCATGTAGTTCAGATTCGGCAATGCTATGGCATCAGAAACTTGGATACATGTCATAACAAGGAATGAAAGTCCTTGTAGAGCAAAAGCTACTTCCAGGCTTAACAAAGGTATCACTTCCTTTGTGTGAGCATTGCATAACAAGTAAGCAGCACCAGTTGAAATTCAACACATCAAATTCTAGTGGCAAAAGTGTTCTAGAATTGGTTCACTCTGACGTATGGCAAGCACCAGTAACGTCCCTAGGTGGAGCAAAATACTTTGTCTCATTTATTGATGACTACTCCAGGAGATGTTGGGTGCACCCTATTAAGAAGAAGTCAGGCGTGTTTTTAACTTTCAAAAACTTCAAAGCGTGGGTGGAACTTGATTCTGGAAATAAGATCAAGTGTTTCAGAACAGATAATGGAGGAGAATACACAAGCGAAGAATTTGATGACTTTTGCAAGAAAAAAGGCATCAAAAGACAGTTCACAGTGGCGAACACTCCTCAACAAAGTGGAGTGGTAGAGCGGATGAACAGAACCTTGTTAGAAATAACAAGAGCAATGTTGAGGGACGCAGGCCTAGAAAAATCATTCTGGGCAGAAGCAGTCAATATCGCCTGTTATTTGGTGAATCGAGCTCCATCAACTGCAATAGAGCTGAAGACACCAATGGAGATGTGGACTGGTAAACCAGTTGATTATTCAAACCTCCATGTATTTGGAAGTATTGTGTACGTGATGTACAACGCCCAAGAAATTTCAAAGTTGGATCCAAAATCTAGGAAATGCAAATTCTTGGGGTATGCAGATGGAGTAAAGGGGTATCGCTTGTGGGATCCCACTGCCCGCAAAGTGATCATTAGCAGGGATGTTATCTTTGTAGGAGATAAACTACAAAGAAAAGAAGACGATGATAGCGCTGAAAAGTCAGAGACTACTCATATACATGTGGAAAAAGAGTTTGAAGAAGGAGATTCTTCTGAAGCAGAACCAGCACATGATGAACAAGAACCAGAGAGTTCTGAAGCTCCAACAACTCGTCAATCAGATCGTGTTAGAAGACGTCCCAATTGGCACTCAGATTATGTTATAGAAGGTAATATTGCATACTGCCTTTTAACAGATGACGGTGAGCCATCAACATACCAGGAGGCAATAAACAGCTCAGATGCTTCACTGTGGATGATAGCGATGCAAGAAGAAATCGAAGCCCTTCATAAAAATAATACATGGGACCTTGTGCCACTACCACAAGGAAGGAAGCCAATTGGTAACAAATGGGTTTTCAAAATCAAGCGAAATGGTGACGATCAAGTGGAGAGGTATCGTGCAAGACTGGTGGTCAAAGGATATGCTCAAAAAGAAGGTATTGATTTCAATGAAATATTTTCTCCTGTGGTTCGACTAACAACAGTTCGAGTAGTTTTGGCAATGTGTGCTACATTGAACTTACATCTAGAGCAGCTAGATGTTAAAACAACTTTTCTTCATGGGAATCTTGAAGAAGAGATTTATATGCTCCAGCCTGAAGGTTTTGAAGAAGAAGAAAAGAAGAACTTGGTTTGCAGGTTGAACAAATCTCTGTACGGTCTAAATCAGGCGCCGAGGTGTTGGTATAAGAGATTTGATTCCTTCATTATGTGCCTTGGATACAACAGACTTAATGCAGACCCTTGTGCTTATTTCAAGAGGTCTGGTGATAACGATTTTGTTATATTGTTGTTGTATGTGGATGACATGTTGGTTGCAGGACCCAACAAAGATCATATTGAAGAATTGAAGGCACAACTGGCTAGGGAATTTGAAATGAAGGACTTGGGATCAGCAAACAAGATTCTAGGGATGCAAATTCACCGAGACAGAAGTAATAGGAAGATTTGACTTTCACAAAAGAATTACTTGAAGAAGATCTTGTCACGATTCAGCATGCAAGATTGTAAGCCAATTTCCACCCCTCTTCTTATTAACTTCAAATTATCCTCCAGTATGAGTCCTAGCAGTGAAAAAGAGAGGATGAATATGTCTCGAGTACCGTATGCATCAGCAGTGGGAAGTTTAATGTTCGCTATGATATGCACAAGACCAGATATTGCACAAGCAGTGGGAGTGGTTAGTCGGTACATGGCGAATCCAGGCAAAGAGCATTGGAATACAATAAAGAGGATCCTGAGATACATCAAAGGGACCTCCAATGTTGCATTATGTTACGGAGGATCAAACTTACTAATCAATGGGTATGTAGATTCTGACTATGCAGGGGATTTGGATAAAAGCAAATCTACAACAGGATATATGTTCAAAGTTGTTGATGGAGCTGTAAGCTGGGTTTCTAAGTTGCAGTCAATTGTGGCTACATCCACAACAGAAGCAAAATATGTAGCAGCTACACAAGCCAGTAAAGAAGCAATTTGGTTGAAGATGTTATTGGAGGAGCTTGGGCACAATCAAGAGTATGTCTCTCTGTTTTGTGATAGTCAAAGCGCCTTGCATCTAGCAAGGAATCCAGCATTTCATTCAAGGACAAAACACATACGAGTTCAATACCATTTCATTCGTGGAAAGGTGGAAGAATGGACAGTAGATATGCAGAAGATCCATACCAAAGACAACATAGCAGATTTCATGACAAAGGCGATCAACGCTGATAAATTTACTTGGTGTCGATCCTCTTGTGGCCTGTCAGAGACATAAGCAACATGATGGTACAAGGTAGAAAGAATTGTGTGAAGATATGATTGTTCCAATCAAATCTTCAAGTGGGAGATTGTTGAAAAATAAACAAGTGGCCAAGCCACTTTCGGTGACAGCCACCAATTTTGTCAAAAAGGGTTGGCTATTTGTTGAAAATCAACAATGGTAAAATCTTAATTTTAGTCATTGTAATTTAGGGTATTTACAAATTAGTCCTTAAGCTTCAACTATAAATACCCTAGCTCATTTAGCTTCAAAACCATCCCAAAGCATTCTATCTTTCTTCCAATACTAGAGAGATTTTAGAGAGTTTCTTGAGAGTTGTTTTCTCTTTTTTATCTAGAGAGAATTATCATTGTTTACTCCTTGGTAGATCGAGAGAGGTTGTAATTCCTATTTTCTCATAGTGAAATTCTTCTACCGTTGCCCGTGGTTTTTACCTTATATTATTCAGGGGGTTTTCACGTAAATTTTGTGTCTCTTTTATCTTCATTTTTATTTTCTCAAATTATCAGTTGCGATTTTGCTCTATCCGATAGCCGTCTTCCGCAACATCCTCAACTCCACAGATCAGAGGAATGAAACGAAAATTGTTCGGAGAATTAGGAAATTCCTCCATCTTCAATGGGAGGTTAAAATCATGCAGATTTCTTCAGACATCAACAACATTGCGGATGCCTTGGCTCACCTTGGCAACGCTGGAACCGATTTCACCTTCCGACACTGCCCTCCTGATGGTGTAAGGAAAATGCTCACTAGTGATATGATTAGCCCTTTAAGGTGCGTTTGGTTTACGGAATGGGAAGAAAAAATTACCATGGAATAGGATTACTGGGAATGTTACATTACTGTGTTTGGTTGGTTTGGCAGGAATGTAAGATTAGAGTGTTTGGTTAAAAGAATAAAAGATTACTAGAATATATATTTTACCAAATTGTCCTTGTTCTATATTTGTTTTTTTAACAAGTGAAATTCTAAATATTTAAATAAAAAATATTTATATAAAAATTTTATTTGTTGATAATATATTACTTGAGTATTTAAATATATCATGTATTATTTTAATTTTATTTAATATTAAATTTTACATAATTTATGTAAAAATATATTAAAATTTTACATCAATATTTAAATAAATGTTTACATTGTGAAAATTCTTCATAGATATTCATAATAATAAAAAGATGTAAATTATTTTTATTATCTAAGATATAATATTTATTATATTTTCTATATACAATAATTTTTTTATTTATCTTTTATATTTATACTTAATTCTGCATATTTTATCATTATTATTTATCTCATGAATTTATATTACAAAAACATAATTCAAATAAGTAAGAAAATATAACACTAAAAATCATATTATCTATAATTTTATATTTCACCGTCATTCATCATTATCTTTGCTAATATTTTAATAAAATTATTAACACTCAGTCTTAATCTGATTTGTACTTAACTCTTGATTACGAAAAGTAAGCAACTCAATAATTTATGTTTCCCAACCTATAATTTCTCTCCGAACATACAAAAACCGACAGAGGCCAAACTTTGAACATAGTAGACCGTTAATTTCTTTCATCAATATATGCTGATCTACATCCACATTTAAGCTATAATCAATCACATAAATAAAGGTTCATCAAGAAATATAATCTCAATACTATAAACATAAAACTAACATAAATCACTTGCGGAAGAATCAAGCCTCTCGCAAAAGCGTTCCACTGCTTCAACATTGAACCAATTCTTTTTCATCAGAAATGTAAAATGGGCAATTAGTACTTATAATCCACATTTGAAAAAATATGTTTCATAAATGAAACGAGATTCGTACAAATAGTTCATAGATGCTGATCTACACTCACATCTAAGCTAACTGATCACATAAAAAAAAGCTCATAAAAAATGTCATTTCTAAAGTTAATGAAAATCACATGCTGGAGAATCGAGCCCCTCACAAAAGTGTTCCACTTATTCAGCAGTGAACCAGTCCTTTTTCATCTGCAAAGTAAAATAGGTTATAATCCACAATCGAAAAAATACAATTTTTAAACTAAACGAGGAATGTACAAAGTAAGTGTAACCTTCAATGCTAAAGTTCTCCGGGACGCTTTCGACAAATGACTTTATGAAATAGAGAACAAAGTTCCCACATTCTTTACCATTTCTTTGTTGTGGCACCTGAAAAGATCAAGGGTCAAACAAAGATATAACATACGATCAAACAATATCAACATTTTGTACTGTAATCACCTTAGGGACCAAAAGAGGAATTGGATAAATTGTCTGTTTATTCTCAGGCCTGCCTTCAACTTTATAAATGTTGAACACGAACCTGCTAGCAAGAAATTCATATTGAATATTAGAAACTGTGGCAATATTACTCGGCTAGTAACACGAGTTATGCATATGAGTAAATATACTTTCTTATATTCGGTTCGTATCAATCTGTTATTTGTCACAACCACAAGATATGATCATAGTTGTAGAGTTTACATTGTATGGCATGTTGGCATGAAAGCATATTTCTGGCCATTTAACAATGTAAGACAACCAATATATGGCTTAAGGGAAAACCTACCGGTTCACATCGGGCATATTTAGAATGAAAGCAAAGAACTTTTCCAGGGTAGATATCACCACAGCTTCGATCATCCCAGGTTCCTCTTTCTATAACTTTGAATCAGTCACTGCACTTCCTAATCCATTTACTAAATAGCTCTGTTTCTTCAGTATAGCAGCAGTTAAACCGGCTGCCCAGACCTGCAATGAAAAGAATACGCGACTCATCAATATTTCCAGTTTCCAGAACAAGTATATAATTTATCCAAATGAAATTACAAAGTTCAAAGCTGGAACAATGAACCTACAATCTTATACACCAACAAACAAGCTCAAAGAATTTTAATTATGTTTTTTGTTTTAATGCTACAGATGCTATGTATGATTTCCCAGATTTTTGAAAACGAAAACGACAATCAAGCTTAAATATTGCAAGTGTTCTAGGCTAAGATGAGATCCATTTTCTTCCCTCCGGATGATAAACCAACAATGAAGCTTCCTTTCAATGATACCGATAGAGCTAGCGAAAAGCAAAATAGTATGATAGAGCTCTAAACAAACTTGGAATAAGTAAAGATATAAAAAATGTTGAAAGCATATTATTCAAACATCCCGAGGACGGACATAAGCATTCCAGTGTCTTTTATACGGGTAATAGTACATAAATCTAAGATTTACAATTGAGTAAACAAAGCACAATACATGGATGTTAATTTGATAGAGCTACCACACACAGAAATTTCCTAATGTTCACAACTAGAATCTGGATTCATTTCTCATTCTCTTGGATAAAGGCAAGATGAATCACAGTCCATCAATTTGAATTTGCATAAGCTTGAATCATAGTAGTTTTATTGTACGCCATTTAAGACCAAATCTTCAGTAAAATCAGCTAAAGAACTCAAGTTCATAAACACAAAAACCCAAAGCTTGGATCTTATTAAAATTCTATTGCATGTTACTTATCTGAAATTCATAATTTGAGATAAAGATCAAAACTGAAATTCAAAAGACAAAAACTATAATTATCATCAAAGTATTGTAAGGTATGGCTCATAAATATACCGGTAAAGAGGACAGGAGATGGAGCGGAGTGAGCGAAGCGAACATCAACTGTCCTTACAAAGAAAGTCTTGTAGAGGGGGTTACGATTATGTGGGTTGGGGATGCGGGGGCTGTGCCTCCGTGGTATGGTACAAGGTTAATTTTGTAATTATGTACCAGAGTTTTCTATTATAAATAGAGATGTAACCTAAACCTATTATCATTGAATAAAAATTTTCTAGCGCCGCCTAGGCACCGAGGACGTTAGCACATTGCCAAACCTCGTTAAAATTCTTGTGTTCTTTCGTTTACTTTGCCCGATTTATCAACAATTGGTATCAGATGTTAGGAGCAAAATTCGATGGTCGGGTAACTTCGAATTATGGCAAACGAGGGTGAAGGATCTGTTGGCGCAGCAGGGGATCCTGAAGGCTTTGCGACCTACAAAGCCGGCGTCGATGGAGGAGGAAGATTGGGAAGAATTGCAACAACGAGCGGTAGGAACCATACGATTATGCTTGGCGGACGAGGTTATGTATCACGTCATGCATCTATCGTCTCCAGACGAAATTTGGAGGAAGTTGGAAAGTCAGTTTATGTCCAAATCCTTAACGACAAAACTGTATCTAAAGCAGCGACTGTATGGACTGAAGATGCATGACGATCATGATTTGGCGCAACACATGAATGTCTTCAATCAAATCGTTTCTGATTTGGCTCGGCTTGATGTAAAAATTGAGGATGAAGACAGAGCGATGATTTTGTTGTGTTCGTTGCCTCCCTCTTACGAACATATGGTGACTACTCTTACATATGGGAAATAGACTATCAACGTTGAGGAGATTACTGCAGCCTTGTTGGCTCACAACCAGCGGAAGCAGAATACAGGGGAAAACTCTCAAGCCGATAGCTTATATGTCAAGGGTAATCGAGACCGTGGACGGAAGCCAGAGAAAGCAGGGTCAGACAAGCGGAATTCCAGATCCAAATCTAGGGATAAGAAGATAATTCACTGTTACAAGTGTAAGGAGGCGGGACATATGAAGCGAGACTGTCCGAAGTTGAAAAAGCATACTGATGAGAAGCGTGATGTTTCATCCAAGTATGTGAACGTGGTCGAGGATGACAATTCTGATTGCAGTGAGGGTGATATGCTTTCTATTTCAACGACTCAATTGACGGATGCGTGGATTCTTGATTCTGGATGTTCTTATCACATCACGCCAAATAGGGAATGGTTTTCGACATACAGGTCGATTAATTCTGGTTCTGTTTATTTGGGTGATGATCAATGTTGCAATATTGTTGGTATTGGTGATGTCAGAATTAAGATGTATGATGGCTCTGTTCAGACGTTGAGTGGTGTTCGACATATCCCAGATTTGAAGAAGAATTTGATTTCTTTGGGTACTTTGCACAAGAATGGTTTTATCCCTAATGCTGATGAGGATAGGGAAACCATTCGGATTGTTAAAGGTGATTTGACTGTGATGAAAGGAAAGATGACTGCAGGAAATATTTATAGATTGTTAGGGAGTACCGTTGCAGGTGGAGTTCATTCTGTTGAATCCTGTGATGATACTACAAAACTGTGGCATATGCGTCTTGCTCATCTTAGTGAATGTGGTATGACAGAATTACACAAAAGAAATCTGTTGCATGGTGTCAAAAGCTGTAAGCTCGATTTTTGCAAGTATTGTGTTCTTGGTAAACAGACTAAAGTCCGTTTCAAGACTGCGAAGCACACAACTCAAGGGATTCTTGATTATGTGTATTCTGATGTATGGGGGCCTTCCACGACATCGTCTTTGGGTGGATCTAGATATTATGTTACTTTTAATGATGATTTTTCACGGAAAGTTTGGGTGTATTTTTTGAAACAGAAATCTGAAGTTTTTGAGAAGTTCAAGCTGTGGAAAAGAGAGGTAGAAAACCAAACACGACGAAAAATCAAGTGTTTGCGGTCTGATAATGGTACGGAGTACACATATTCACAGTTCTTACACTTTTGTAAGAAGCACGGGATTAAGAGACATTTTACAGTGCGCAAGACACCATAACAGAATGGTGTTGCGGAACAGATGAACAAGTCGTTGAATAAAAGAGCCAGATGTTTGCGGTTGAATGCGGGGATTCCCAAACACTTCTGGGCCGAGGCTGTTAACATGGCGTGTTATCTTATCAACAGATCGCCAAGGGGCATCATTGGCTGGGAAAGTTGCAGAAGAGGTATGGACTGGTCATGATGTTAGTTTTGATAACTTACAGATTTTTGGTTGTCCTGCTTATGTGCATGTACCTGCTGATGAGAGATCCAAACTTGATGCAAAATCGAAGGAGTGCATTTTTCTGGGTTACAAGAAAGGTGTCAAAGGATTCAAGTTCTGGGATCCAGTTGCGAAGAAAATTGTGATCAGTAGAGATGTTGTTTTTGATGAACAATCCATGTTGCAACAGAAGAAAGACACGACATTGGTGAATTTCGAGCAGTTTCCAGTTGAGAAACCAGAAACGTCTCAACCGACTTCTGGTGGTTCCACTACGGATGATTTGCAAGATTATAGTCTCGCCAGAGACAGGGTGAGACGGACGAATATAAAGCCTCCGAGTAGATTGGGTTTTGAAGACTTGGTCTCTTTTGCACTTATTGTTAGCAGTGATGATCCGGTTACTTTTCATGATGCTGTTACTAGTCAGGAAAACGACAAGTGGATGGCAGCCATGGTTGAGGAGATGGAGTATTTGAATCACAATCGTAGATGGGAGTTAGTTCCCCTTCCTGAGGGTAAAAAGTCGATTGGTTGCAAATGGGTGTATAAGAAGAAACCAGCAGTAACAGAAAAAGAGGGGGAGAAGTTCAAGGCTCGTTTGGTAGCAAAGGGTTTTTTCACAGCAGAAAGGAGTTGATTATGATGAAATCTTTTCTCATGTGGTCAGACACACTTCAATCCGAGCAGTACTTGCATTGGTGGCCAGTTGGGATTTGCATTTAGAGCAGATGGATGTTAAAACTGCTTTTTTGCATGGTGATTTAGAGGAGCAGATCTACATGCGGCAACCTGAAGCGAACATCAACTGTCCTTACAAAGAAAGTCTTGTAGAGGGAGTTACGATTATGTGGGTTGGGGGTGCGGGGGTTGTGCCCCGCGGTACGGTACATGGTTAATTTTGTAATTATGTACCAGGGTTTTCTATTATAAATAGAGATGTAACCTAAACCTATTATCATTGAATAAAAATTTTCTAGCGCCGCCTAGGCACCGAGGACGTAAGCACATTGTCGAACCTCGTTAAAATTCTTGTGTTCTTTCGTTTACTTTGCCCGATTTATCAACAAGTATCATAATTAGAACTCAAAGAATCAACATACAAAAAAAACCTTAGGATTAAAAGGGCCAGCTGCTCCTGAATCAATAATCACTTTTTTTATTTTCTCTCTCAATCTATCTCTTCCCAGAAAACTATCAAGAAGTGAACCATATCTGCCCAAAAACAAAAAAAAACCTAAATTTTCTTTCAACGATCAAAATTTGAAAACGAAAAAAAACTCAAATGCATTAAACTTACATCAACAAGCTAGTGTTGCAAAAAACATGGAAAATGAAGCAACTTTGACGACCATCTTCCTCTTTCTCCAAAACCCACTCGGCCAACTCATTTCTCAGTTCAGATATACGTCGCTTGAGCCTTACATCGAGATCAAACCATAGCAATTCATTAACATCTACTGCAAAAGTAACCGCATGGATTCCTCTTAAATTGTGCCATTCAACGTATCTCTTTAAATGCTTGGTTTTAGCCCCCAAGCCATCCCAAAACAACCACCGTTAGCAAATAAAAATGTTGAAAATATCAACGCCAGAAGCAAATACCTAAAAGGGAGATGGGAGATTAATACGCCAGAAGCAAAAATCAACGCCAAATAGAAGAAAAATCAGATTTTCTTTCAGCTAGAACCAAGCGGGGAGAGGGTATTTTAGACAACTGTGACCGGGAATAAGAAAATATCTAAGGGAGACGAGAGACTGATATTCTCGGGAAAATAGGAAAAAATATTACTGTTGGTATTCATTCTTTACCTATACTTGGAAATGTGGCTCATCCAAACATAAGTATCATTGCCCTGGAAAAAAAAATTCCTTCCAGTAATAAAATATGACGTGAACCAAACGGGACCTTAATGTCTTAGTTCACTGCTGTTGCAGATTTTAAAGTAACAAAAAAAAAGGAACTTCGTAGCCAATGTACCTTTATTTTCTTCAATTTGATATCACACTCGTTGTAGTGTTTTCGTTATAATTTTGTCATGTATTTTTATTTGTTACGTCTGATTTAAAATATTTAATATTTTAATATTTAATATTTTAATATCAGAATAATATATATATAAGTATATATTTAAATTCACGATTTATGTAAAATACAATATTAATAGTACTAACAAAATTATTAAAATTTTAATTTTATCAGTTTGTAAGTAAGAAGTAGAAAAGGGTCAAAAATCTAAAGAAAGAAAGTTAAAATGGGGTAAATTTAAGGAGTCGTAGGATTAAAAGAAATAATTTAGGACCATCGAAAGTAAAAAGAAAATTGTAACATCCCAAACTATGGGTTAGTGACTAAATGGTAAAGTTTCAGAAATTTGGTGATTAAAGTAGAAGAATGAATTAGTTCAATGATTTATCTGGAAATAAATCCTAAAAGTTGTTAGTAATTATCAAATGAAGTAGAGGGCAAAATGGTCATTTGACTAATAAATGAATTAAAAATAAATATGATAAGGATATATATGTTAGAGGGGATAAGGATGAAGAGATATTCTCTTCATCTTCTTCTTCTTCTTCTTCTTCTTCTTCTTCTTCTTCTTCTTCTTCATGTACGAGAGAGAGAAGAGCCAAGCTTGCAAAGGTAAGATTCCTTGTTAGCTGATTATTTGTTAATTTTAAGATTGGGTTTTATCATTAGGTAATACTTAAGCTTATGGAAAGCTTAAGTTGTCCTAAAATCAAAAGATAAAGAAGTTAAGAAAGATTAAAGAAAATGAGTTTCTTAAGGAAATTCTGGAAAAGAGTTAGTAAGTGAATTTTGAGAAGGAATTTGACTTGTCATCAATCTAATTAAGGAATATAGAGTGTTAGAATTAGATTTAAAACATGTTAAAAATCTGGTATGATTCTTGAAGTTAATAAAGAGGAGAGGATATTAAGGTTAAAGACGAGATAATTGATTATAAATGAGTTTAAACATGTATATGAAAGTTAGGAATATGAAAGGGGATGAAATATGAAGCATTTGAGTGAAGAGTGGATGATTTTAAAGTTCAAAAAGAGGTTCTGGGCAGAGTGCATCGATGCACATTCATAGTGCATCGATGCATCAAGGTTAAAACCCAGAAATTGTTTGAATGTGCACCGATGCATTGGTAGTGCATCGATGCACTCTTTTAAAATAAAGACATCGAATGCAATTCGTGCATCGATGCATAAGTAGTGCATCGATGCATCCCAGTAATAGTGAAACATCGAATGCAATCGGTGCATCGATGCATAAGGAGTGCATCGATGCATCCCAGCAATAATACTACATCGAATACCTTTTATGCATCGATGCATCAATAGTGCATTGATGCATACCTTCATTAAAAGATGAAGTTGACTTTTCTCTTAGTCTAAAGAGTGAACCATTAGAGTATATTAGTTATAATACTGATATAGATCCATGTGTGATTATGTAGATACTAAAAGTAAGCTTATTCCAGAACGATCAAAGGATTAGAATCGAATCAAAGCAAAGCTAAGGTAAGTGCATACTATATGTATAGTATAATGGAATAAGACTTGTGATAAGTCTAATCCTTATGTTGATTTTTATAATACAATGATTGTGAACATGCATACATGATAATTATGGTGATATGATATGTGATATGAGAACATGATATGAATTAAGTGATATGAGTTACATGATCTACGTGAATGTATGCACTTGTGATACATGTGATATGATATGAAATATATAATTACACATACATGTGGTATGTGACAGAAGAGAAAGAACAAGTGATATGAAAGGTATAAGAATAATGCCCATAGTATACGATATGAGAACTATAGGTGTAGTTGGCATGCCAAGAGTCGAGGGTTTACATATGTTTAAAGGCACATATGAACATTTTACATATGTTTAAAGGCACATATGAACAGTTTATATATGTTTAAAGGCACATATGAACAATTTACATATGTTTAAAGGCACATATGAACAGTTTACATATGTTTAAAGGCACATATGAACAGTTTACATATGTTTAAAGGTACATATGAACAGTTTACATATGTTTAAAGGCACATATAAATAGTTTACATATGTTTAAAGGCACATATGAACAGTTTATATATGTTTAAAGGCACATATGAACAGTTTACATATGTTTAAAGGCACATATGAATAGTTTATATTGTGACCTATGGATCGTGGTCCTTCGGGACGAATACTGAACTAAGGTTCGGTGCCCCATGAGGGAATTGATACGAGCTGTGGTGACAGCATTAGTGCACAACCTCAATGCACTCACATACCTCTATTATCAATAATATACATGGGCAATGCAATTGAAATACCAATTTAAAGTGAAAGTGATCCAAGAAGGTAAGTCCATATTATATGATTATATATGTTATCGTGTGATAGATACATGCATCTTGAGATGTCATGATCCAATGGTAAGTATGAATATTCATAAGTTTATTGTTGCATATTCATTTATTGCCTCACTAAGTCTATGACTTAGCGTGTAAGTGATTTACACGTAGGTACCAAGAATCAGGAAAGGTGGAAATAGAAGTAGCACAGACAACAATACTACTAAGAGATCAGTTCAGAAGTAATTGACAAAGTATGTACTTGGTTATGTATAGAATGTTGGCATGTAATAAGTGTTAATTACGAATACTCTGATCGATTTTGTATTTTATGGTTTTATGTAAATTAATGTATTTCGTTTTAATGAAAGTTTTAAAAATTCCCGGGATTTTCTATAAGAGTCAAAGTTTGAAAAGTCAATGTGACACCTCAGACTTGTATTCGGGTTGGATATGAGTTAAGGGTGTAACAAAAATAATATGTTAATATCTTTTTAATTCTTTAAAATTTTATAAATTTTTATTTTAACATAGAATCACACGAGTTTATTTAAGAAAAAAACTTACAAATTATTTATAATTCTATCATCAATATAACAACTACAATTTTTTTTGTTTTGTTAATATTTATTTTTGTAAAAGTTTGTTTTGTTAATTTTAATACAAACATTGGGTTGCTAAGAAAAAAACCCATATTGTGAAAGCGGGTAAACCGTCTCCAACCACTTCATCTTTCTTGTTTCCTTTGGGAAAAGGGTGAGCTACAATTCCAAGAAATCATGGTTTAAGATTCACTATTAAAGTTGCGGTTAGAATTCCATCGAGTAAAGTTAAAAAATTTCGAGTTATTTTCTAATGTTTTAACTTTTTCTAACCACATAAGATATATATATTTCATATTTTTTATGAGACTAAGATGATTACAAAGTAGTATATGTTTTAAATATTCTCAATCATTTGAAAATGAACATTCAATCACCTTTCTGCAGTCGCTTATGCTCAAACCTGTGACCTTTAGGAACAATAATAATTCCTTTAACCATTGAGGTAAGTTAGTTCGACATATATATTTCATATTCTCTTCACATTATAATATTATTTAATATATCAAATACAATCTAAAATTATAAAATATATTCACAATATTATATTTTAAAGAAAGTATTTCGATGATAAAATATTGATGAGAGTATAAAAGAGTCAAATAATTGATGGGAAAAAAGAATTTTCAAACAATTGCAGTTAAAAGACTAAATTGAGTAAAATGCAAAGTTAAGAGACTAAATAAAAAGAGAGTAAATTTTTAATAAAAAAAATAAGAATTGAAGTTACATAGGTATTCTATAGTGGTATTTGATCATGTGGTTCAAATTTGGTAAAAACGAACTTAAAACAAAATATGAACTGAAGAAATAAGTAAATTATGAAAAATTAAGGGACTAAATTGAAAAATAGAAAACTTGTTATCAAAAAGAGAAATTGAAAGTACATAATTATTCTATGATGATTTAGAAACATGTTGATCAAATTTTGTAAAGTAGACTGAAAATAAAGAAGAAATCGAAGAAATAATGAAATCATAGACTAAATCGTAAAATTTCAAAATACTTAATCAAAATTTTGGTTTTTCGAGTAATTTAAAATTTCCAAATTTCAACTTGACTCGAATTCAAAAACAGAATTGAAAATTCAAGTTGACTTGAATAACTCGAAATTAAAAAAAATATCAATTTTTCGAGTCAACTCGATTTTTGTTCATCCTAATTATAGTATCCCAATGAGAAAATGCAACCAATCAATACAACACGTATCACTAAATAGCTTGCAAAACAAGTATGATTTTTGTATGGCTTTCGTGTAACTTTTCTCGCTTATATGATTCCTATCAACCCTTCTTTCGTGGTCTTACATTTCCCAACTACTTTTCCTAAACTTCACTTTAAAAGTAAGTTCCATCTCTCACAAATCATTCAACTTCGATTCTGTCTGCTTCCATTACTGTTTATACCATATGGAAACACTGCCATTTACCTTCAGCTTAGCGGCTGCATTATTTGCTTACGCGCTTTGGTTCCATGTCCTAGCCAAGATGTTAACCAGTCCGAGAGTATGGCCTCTAGTCGGTAACCTGTCGGTACTCTTCGAGAACCGGAGGCAGATCCATGATTGGATCGCTAGTAACCTTCGAGCAACAAGTCGCTTTGCGACGAATCAAACGTGTACCATTGCTCTTCCATTCTTGGCTTGGAAGCAAGGGTTCTATATTGTCACTTGCCACCCCAAGAACATCGAGCATATTCTCAAGACTTGGTTCGATAACTACCCGAAAGGGCCTCACATGCAAGATGCGTTTCATGATCTTTTGGGGAAGGGGATCTTC